GTGCTTCACTATAGTCAGCTCCTCGGAGCGTTTGGTAAGGCCCTCGGTCTTACAATAGAAAGAACTGTGGTCGTCCCTTGTTGCTTTGCTACCTTTTGCCCACCATGAACTGTTTCTCCTCTGTGATGCCTCTGTGCTATGCCACCCTGTCTTGGAGCCAGTCAATTATGGATGGAAACCTCTACAAACTATGAGCTAAATAAATCTTTCCCCCTTTAATTTTAGGTGTCAAGTATTTTCTCTCAGCAACAAGAGGAAAGTAACTAACATACAGGCTCTCACTATGTATTTCAGGCTGGACTCGAACTCACTATGTGGCCCAAACTGGCCTCCAACTCGTGGCAATCCTCCTGCCTCTGCCTCCCAAGTGCTGGGATTACAGGCATGTGCCACCTTGCCGACCTAGAAGACTGGGATTAAGGGCAGTGCACTAATTACCCTGGCGGAGGAAACATCAAGGCAATCATTTAGGCTCTGGCTTGGGCACTGTTGGGGGCTTTTAGCTAGCTCTACTGTGAAAATCAAGAGCAAACAGCCTGCTGAAAGATTTTTAAAGTTTTGAGTTTGGCCAGAAAGGAAGCTATGGTAAAGTTGGGGCCTTCAAAGATGAAGCACAGCAGAGCTTTGTTGAGAAAAAGATTAACATTTAAAAGAAGCCAAGTACTCTGGAACAGGACAATAGGAAAGATGGCCAGAGGACATCACAGGGAGCAGGATCTCACCCTTCCAAGCCGCAGAATTGAATACGTGAAAGATACTCCGGAGCACCATGCTCCAGAATGGCCACAGCCTAGGGAATGGGAATTGATTCCCCAAGATTTAGTTCACCATTCTCAGCCATCCAGGCACTGAGAAGCCTCTGCAACCATCAGAAAAATGATAAAGGGCTCCGCTAATGCTCCAGGAGGCACCAGACCTTGGTGTGATCCACATGGTGCTGATTTTAGGTACATGCAGAATGTAAGTGTTGTGGAATCAGGGAGGCTTCCACTCAGATTTCAGAAGATAGCCTGGGGGCCCAGCCAGTGGCTCACTGAGAGGGCAGTTCGTGAACCTGTGAGTGATGCCAAAAGTGCAGTGGAGACCCGGGATGTTGGAAAAGCCAGGAACATGGAACATCTGAGGAAAGCCTTGATGAGTAAGCAAAACGAGCCCAAGAGAGGCCACAAGAGCTATACAACCACTGGCATTGCAACAGGGCTGGGGCCACCCAAGCCCTTTGAAGTTCACAGCTCACCACAGATTGCCCTTAGTGCTGGACATACAACAGAAACTAAAGGTAGTTTGCGGTCACTAGAGCATGGTCAGGGTGTCAGGAAGTGAGGCTGTGGAACCCCCTAGATTCCTGAGTATCAGGCAGGCATCTGAAAAACAGAAGGGAGATCTAAGGATCCAGAAAACCTACTTGTGCCAAAGACTCTGAGCAGCGCTAGGGTTGCTGGTCCCCACCTCGCCCGGGGCTGTCCCTCCTGCTATGAGGAGGGCAAATCTGCTAACATCCGCGACCTGCTTTCCTTTCGGTATGAGCTCCACAGACTGGGACTCCACTTAGGGTTAAGAGCGCTGGGTTATAGTGGGACCCTTATCTGACCCAGCAGACAAGAGGAAGAGGAAGGGGAAAGAGAAGGCGAAGGCACTAGGATCCCGGAGACACCGACATCGCACCCCATCCGAGTAGCCACTCGCTGGCAGAGGCACCTCCAGCCAGATGGACAGACGGAACAGCCCAGGCCCTGTCCAGACCCCCGTTTCCCAGTCAGCTCCGGGCTCCACTGACCAGGGGACAGAGGGCGGTCCGCTGCTCTGTTTACCTTGGTCAAGCCAACTCCCACCACAAACACCCGGCGATGGGTGAGAAACTTCCACTCGGAAAAAGGCATGGCTCAGCAGCGCCGGACCCACACGAACACAGGAGACACGGGATCTCGCTCACCCACTGGAGCCTGGGCTGCAGGAGCTGGGCCTCCGCTAGGGGCGGTGCAGCGGGGGCGGCGTAGCAGGGGGCGGGGAGTCTGCGCATGCACGGCGTCGCCAGCGTCGCCAGCGTCGCGAGTCCCGGTCTGGCGTCTGCTCGTGCTTATTAGGCCAAGGCCCGAACCAAAATCACTAACGGAGCAAAAGAATCCGTCCTGTCAGGCCCCTAACAAAACAGCCTGGCAACAGCCGCTCGCTATTCCTGGGCCTGTGTCTAGGTCCTTTGTGATGCGCGCGAGAGAAGGGCCAGCAGTAGGACCGGAGACAGGAGGGGCTGGCCCGAAAGGGGACTCAGATTGTTTGGAATGTGAGTAGTGAATGGTCTGAGAGTCAGTGCTCTTGCCAGCCTTCGCTCCACAGGTCGCCAATAAGGAGGGAGGGTTGTACACATAGGTTTGTCTGAAACGGGCTATGCGGCCCTACCCAGTCTTTGCACTGGGGGTTGAACCCAGGGCCTTAGCTCTGAGCTACAGTCCCAAGGCTTTTTAAATTTGTTTAGAGAAAGGGTCTCGCTAAATGGCCCAAGCTGGGCTGACACTTAAGATCCTCCTGCCTCAGCCTCCCAGGGTGCTGGAATTTCAGGCTTGCATCAACTTGCACAGTTTCAAGTTCTCATTTGACAGTATAGGCGGGGCTTATTGTTTGACAATTCTGCATTTTTCAATTTGCATACTCCCCTTTACTTGTTAACCCCCAAGCCAGTACTCAGGTCTCAGTGTGGTGAACAATTTGAGTTGCCAAAGCCACATTCTCACGCAAGGTGAATGGAGACCACACTGCCTTTTTTTGGTTTTTTGTTTTTGTTTTTGGTACCAGGAATGGAACTCGGAGCCTTGGGCTTTCGAGACAGGCGGCGGAATCACGGAGCTAAATCCCTGGCCCCACACTGCCTTCTTGATCTAGCTCTCATATTGTAAACAAATGCCTTTTTCATGATCTACTTAGGGCCATGTTTTTTGTTTTTTGGATTTTTTTTCTTTTTGTTGTAGATTTGCTGTTTAAAAATTGCCTCCAAAGGGCCAGGGATTTAGCTCCGTGGTTCCGCCGCCTGCCTCTGAAAGGGAAGGTCCTGAGGTAGATCCCCAGGTGTCCAAAAAAAAAAAAAAATTGCCTCTAAGCATAGTGCTGAAGTTCTTTCTGGTGTTCATGTGTGCAAGAAACCTTAGGTGAAAATGCTTTATGGAGAAAATACATATTTTTGGTAAATTTATTCCTAGTGTGAGATATAGCGCTATTGCATTCACTGTTAATAAACCAGCAGTACAGAGTAATTTTTTTTTTTTTGGTACCGGGGATCAAACTCGGGTCCTTGCGCTTGTGCAGCAGGCAGTGAAACCACTGAGCTAAATCCCCGGACCCAGAATAATTATTTTTATACATGAAACAAGGAAGAATTTGTATTGGTTGATACAGGTATTTTATCCTGAATTTCCTCTAGGAGCAGTGGTTTGGTATTCACTAATTCAGTGCTCTTGTTAACTTTACAACACGCTAGGAAAAAAGAGAAGTGTAAGTTTCAGTGGCTTGCACATGTAGTCCAAGCTACTCAGGAAACTGAGGCCAGGTAATACAGCAAGACCCCTATCTCAAAAAAATTTTTTATTTTACTCTGTGTGTCTTTGTATAAAACTTTTTAAACCCATCGTAGCCCTAAGAATCTATAAGAGCCCCTCATAGATTTCCACGCCAAAAGGCATCAAATAGCTAGAAGAGCACTAGCTCTGGGACACCTCTTGTAATTGTTCTTAGGACTGCTAGAATTTAAGTCTAGGTACACACTTAGCAGAAACTCGACTTTGCTGCCAGAGGAAAACAGCTAGAAAGGAAGTAGGGAGACAGGACACTTTATTGCAGGTACGTCTCAAACAGGAGGGGGGCCAGGGAAGCTACAAAGAAACCCCAAGTAAAGAACTTTAGGGCTAAGCAGAGGTGTTCTGAGGCTGAGCAGGAAACAGCCTCGGTAGGGACTGAGTCCCCTGCCTCTGGGTAGAAGGATATGTTCAAATTGAGATGGGCTGACCTTGGGGGTATTGTGAGCTTTACAATTGACAGCCTTGCTCCTAAGAGGGAAATGGAGCCAAATGGCCTATAGTTCACAAGTGATTTTCATTATTTCAAAAGGTCTAATAGAAATTTTATTTATTCTCATGCCACCCCACCCCCAATAAAAATTATAGGTTCATAACATCCACATGCAGACACTCCTTTCTAATGAACCAGATCCTTTGGGGTGGAGGGTGATGAGAAGGAGGTGGAAACTAGGCAGCAATACTTAGAAAGTTTCTCCCAGGTGTCCCCATTGTGCTAGGTAAAGAACTACCAACCAGAAATGGATCAACTCAGTAAAATAGGAAGGGACTATGAATCTCCCCTTTTCCTATCTAGTCATACATCCTAGCACAAGGTGAAGCATTTACTAGGTGTACATTTGTTTCTTGATACTCTTATTGGATAATAAAGACAGCAATGTTAGTACAGTTAGAAACAATGGAGCTACCAGGTGTGGTGGCACATCCCTATAATCCCAGCACTCAGGAAGTTGAGGCAAGATCACCATGAATTCAAGGCCAGCCTGGGCTACATAGTGAGTTCAAGGCCAGCCCGAACTACATAACAAGACCCTGCCTCAAAAAAACAAAATAAATAAAATAAAGTTGGAATATCTGGGCCAAAGAGGCTATACTGAGGGAAAGAGAAAAAAAAAATTATATATATATGGAGGATGAGGTCTGCCAAAAAACGAAAAGGAAAAAAATATATTGGGAGCAATGCTACATAATTTTAGGGAAAAATCATTTGGTTAGCCTAGTTCTCCTGCCTACAGCCCAGTTATGGAATTCCGAGACATAATTCCATTTTGGCCTCTGGTCACAACAGAGACCTCAATGAACCCGTGATGCTGTGATTCTCCAGGACAAGATTACACCAGCGGAAGACAGAATCTTCATCTACTCAGTTCCTCCTTGTTCTGGGATTGTTACATCTTATTTACGCAGGATGTACTGAACTCTCTGCAAGTCATTTGTTACATTTGTTTCTCCGATGTACTGAGTACTGACTAAAAGATGCGGTAAACTGGGGGCTTTCATCTTTGCCGCCCAGAGCAGCACAGATCAGACCCAAAGCTCAGCTTCTCAGTCTCATTTTTCTACCTTTCCTGTAATTCGCCTTGTGCTGCCGTGCCTCACAGGAGACTAGGACTCACTTCAGAGGTTCTAGTAACGTCCCCTTTCCCTGTTCCCTCCATATATATATATATATGGAGGGCGAGGTCCACCAAAAAATGTATCCATATTTCAGGAAAAGAAAAACTTTAAAACTTGTATAAATATTTTAATACTAAATTTATTGAGAGTCATGAGGTTAATACAAATTACCTTTGGCTTCCACAATTACAAGAGGTGCTCACAGTATTAGCCATTAACTTTCAGACATTTATTAGTACAGCGAACTACTGCTTGAGAACCTTGAGATTGCTGCACATGGATTTTCAGTTTTTTCTCTAAGGGCCAGGAGTGTAGGGGGTTTTCTGCGACATCCAACATCCTCTAGAGTGCCCCATACAGTGCTAACACCAACTGTTGAAAAATACCACACTATTTTTCTTTTCCTGAAGTGTGTATACATTTTTTTGGCAGATTCTGTGTCTATGTTGCCTACTTTGGCCTTAAACTCCTGGGCTTAAGTGATCCACAAAACCCAGCTAAGGGTATGCATTTATAATTCTGCCATATATTTGCCAAATGCTCTCCATTTAAAAACATTCTCATTAGCAATGTGCAAGTGCTTATATATGTTGCTTTTATAACTAAAATAAGAATTTTTAAAATTTAGCTATTAGGGATGAGAATGTAGCTCAGTGGTAGAGCACTAGCCTAGCATGTACAAGCCCATGAGTTAAGTCCCCAGTACTGAAAAAAAAATTAGATATTGGAGCAGAAGTCATTACTAAGGGACTATTTCTTCTTAAAACCATAGAATTTAGGGCCGGGGATTTAGCTCAGCGGTTTCACTGCCTGCTGTGCAAGCACAAAGACCCAATGATCCCCAGTACCAAAAAAATAAAACCATAGGATTTTAAAAGGAGGAAAAAATGTTATTCCCTATGGCCATGGAAACAATTGTCCCACTTCCCTCGCTCCTTGCTAAGCTCCCCTGGAATCCCAGAAACAATAATACTGTAAGGAGAAGGAAGCAGGAGCAACTGTTTTATTTTTAAAAAAGATTTCCTCACAGGAGAACTTAATCAGTGCATTAGTTTTCTGTGGCTGTCATAACAATAATACAGATTAGGTAGCTTAAGCAACAGAAATTTACTTTCTGACAATTTTAGAGGCTACAACCACAAGATCAAGTTGTTGATAAGATTGGTCAACAAGAGGCCCCAGGCAAAACCAATGCTATCTAGGTACTGGGGGTCAGGATTTCAGCACATGAATTTAGGGGTGCACAATTCAGTTTGCAACAGTTAGCATTAACTTCTTTAAAGTATGAGATGAAGTCTTATAACTGCTTCCCAATCATCTGTGAAAATTAATCATCTGCAGCCTCATATCTGTGATTCTTTTGGTTTTTTTGGTACCGGGGATTGAACTCGGGTCCTTGCGCTTGCACAGCAGGCGGAGAAACCACTGAGCTAAATCTCCGGCCCATATCTGTGATTCTTTAAGGAGTGAGGGAACTGGCGTTATGTCCAATAAATTACAGAGAAGGAACATGGAGGGATGGCCAGATGATCCATAATCTGTATTAATTCATTGAAGAGGGGAATGCCATCAGAAATAGTCAGGATTGATATAAACCTCAATTCCTCTTTTTCCTTTTAGATTATTTATTTATTTATGCATGCATGCATGCTGAAGATCAAACCCAGCTAAGTACACAATCCACCACTGATCTGCACCCCTAGTCAAAACCTCAAACACCCTTTTTGTGAATTCCGGTCCTGGGCCCATTCTGCCAGACCTCAAACCAGGACATCCACCACCATCTGCTAATCTATCTCCTTAATACTCATCTAGCCTGGATCCCAAGACCCCCTCCACAACACCATCAATGGATTTACGGGTAATAATAGTGGTGGCCAGAAAACAGGTTTCCTTTCTGGCAGACTAAGGGGCCACCCTCTCTGTTCTTATTGAATATTTTGGGCCTTTGCTCCCCTCTATCTCTGTTGTTGGAATAAAGGGCCTAATAGAAATGCCAGCCAAGATTCCACCCTTATACTGTTCCTTAGGCCGTGTAACTTTCACGTACTCTTTCTTGTTAATCCCCCACTGCCCCACACCCCTTTTAGGAAGACATGGTCTCCATCACTTGGGGCCATCTATATATATTCCCTCACTTCCTTCTGAGCCCTTCCTTATTCTAGCAGTCATACTGACTAATAAGACCTTCCCCTCTGAGGCAATCCAACTCATCAAATCATAAGTTGATCCTATTGCTTGGGACACAAAAAAACCCTTCCTTAGCCTTATACCACCAACCCCTCAAAATGGCCCTGAGGGACCCAACTCGAGCTGTTAGAGTCAACCAATACCTCCTTATCCCCGATGGCCATCTTGGCCTTCAGCCCATTATCAACTGCCTTTTTAAAGCCCCAATTCTCATCTCTACCCACTCTCCTCCAATACTACCGTTCTTCCGAGAAAAAAAAAAAAACACTGATGGCTCCTTCTGATTAGTCCAAGATCTTGGAAAGATTAATGAAGCTGTTGTTCCCACTCACCCAGTGGTCCCCAACCCCTACCCTCCTTTCCCACATCCCCCCAATATTCAATCCTTTCCTGTTTAGACCTCAAAGATGCCTTCCTTAGTATTCCCCTTAGCCTTGACTCCCAATAACTTTTTGCCTTTACCTAGACAGACCCCATATCTCTGTTCACCCAACAACTCACATGGACAGTTCTTACCCAGGGATTTGGGGATAGCTTCCACTTCTTTGGCCAAGCATTACAAAAGGACCTTCAATCCCTTGGCCTTACCCCCAGCCACCTGCTCCAATATGTTGATGACCTTTTGCTTTGCATCCCCTCATAAAAATGATTCTATATCCTACACTCTCTCCCTTCTTAGGTTCTTGGGGGGAAAGGGATACCGTGTCTCAGAACACAAAGCCCAGAGCTCTGGCGGCGGGAGGAGCGGCAGTGGCCGCGCAGCGTAGTTCCGCAAGGCTCCCGTGCGTCGCAGCTCCAGCTTCCGCACGCACACCCCGCGACGCCAAGATGCCCAAGAGGAAGGCCAGCTCCCCCGAAGGGGCGGCGAAGGAGGAGCCCAAGAGGAGATCGGCGAGGTTGTCGGCTAAACCTGCTCCTGCAAAAGTGGAAACGAAGCCAAAAAAGCGGGAAAGAATAAATCTTCCGACAAAAAAGGGCAAGCCAAAGGGAAAAGGGGAGCAAAAGGAAAACAGGCTGAAGTGCCTAATCAAGAACCTAAGGAAGATTTACCCACGGAAAACGGAGAAACTAAAAACGGGGAGAGCCCAGCCTCCAAAGAAACGGAAGCAAAAGAAGCCAAGTCTGACTGAGCACACCGCGTCTTACCAGTGCTCCCTGTCTCCCTTCTCGTACAATCCAGAGGAATATTTTTGTCAGCTATTTTGTAAACGCAAGTTTTTTAGCAGCTCTAGAAACATTTTTAAAAAGGAGGGAATCCCACCTCATCGCATTTTTTAAGTGTAAATGATTTTTTTTTTAGACGTGAAATCATTTGCTGGTTGTTTATTTTTTGGTACAACCAGAAAATAGTGGGATATTGAATTATGGCAGGCTTTGACTGTCCTGGGTGTCAGCTTAACATTCCACAGGTGGGGATTAGTTTTATATCCTGTAATATAAAGCATACTAAATGGTAATTTGGAGTCACAGTCGTGCATTTAATATGTCTTGGATTTTTGGGGGGTTTTTTGGTACCGAGGATCGAACTCGGGTCCTTGCACTTGCAAAGCAGGCGGTGAAACCACTGAGCTAAATCCCCGACCCCTGCCTTGGATATTCTAAATGACTTCTATTCCCATGTTTTTAGTAGAATTGTTTCCTAAAGAAAACTACTTCCTGATCGTTGCCCTGTCAGAATTGTGTGTGCTCTGTAACATCTTTTTTGGTCATGCTAGTCCAGTTTGCCTAATTTTGCTAATGTCCTGTGAAAGATCGAAAATTTGTGTATGTAGTGTATATGATAAGAAATTGTGAATTGATGAGACTTAAGTAACACTTCATCAGCATTCGAAGATACTGGTACTTAATCCTTTGATGGAAAATTTGCCTCCAAATTTGAAGCTGGAAAGTCACTGGAATAACTGAAAAAGAAACAATACATAGTTTTTTAGATTTTCGGTACATGTGTTAAAAATTGTGTACAAAGTGAAGTGTCTGTACTGATCCTCAACACAACCAATAAAATCTCAAATGTGGAAAAAAAAAAAAAAAGAATACAAAGCCCAGCTGGTACAACAAGAGGTCACTTACCTTAGCCTGCACCTCACCCCCACCACTCACTGCGTACCTCTTTCCTGAAAAGAGGCTATTAACAAATCTTCCTTTTCCCACCACAAGATATCTCCTTTCATTTCTGGGGCTTCTTAGCTATTTTAGACTTTGGATCCCAAATTTCTCACTCATTGCAAAATCCCTCTATGAGGCGTCCCATAGGGATCCCTGAGAAAGAGAGCCAGAAACAGATTTAATTCCAGTTTCCTTTTGGGTCCTCAATCGCACAGTCCTTAAAGCTCCCACTTTGACCCTACCCAATCTTTTTTGGGGGGGGTACCAGGGATCGAACTCGGGTCCTTGCAATTGCACAGCAGGTGACGAAACCACTGAGCTAAATCCCCGGCCCAACCCTACCCAATCTTTTTTTTTTTTTCCATTAAGTTTATTGGTACATTTTAGGTATAAAATACAGTTACATTCATCATTGTGATCTTGTACCATTACATAATGTATCTTGGTTCTTATTTTTCCCCATTCCTCTGCCCTCCCTTCACCCCCTCCACCCTTCCATATTTACAAAGACTTTGCTTCCATTTTTTTCCTTTTCTCATATTTTTTCTTTTCCCTTCTTTCCTTTCCCCTACCCCTCCCACTTCCCCTACTCCTTTAGA